CAATAAATGGAGTGGCAGAGCGGATGAACAGAACCTTGTTAGAAAGAACAAGAGCAATGTTGAGGGATGCAAGCCTAGAAAAATCATTCTGGGCAGAAGCAGTCAATACCGCCTGTTATTTGGTGAATCGAGCTCCATCAACTGCAATAGAGCTGAAGACACCAATAGAGATGTGGACTGGTAAACCAGCTGATTATTCAAACCTCCATGTATTTGGAAGTATAGTGTACGTGATGTACAACTCCTAAGAAATTTCAAAGTTGGATCCAAAATCCAGGAAATACAAATTCTTGGGGTATGCTGATGGAGTAAAGCAGTATCGCTTGTGGGATCCCACTGCCCGCAAAGTGATCATTAGCAGAGATGTTATCTTTGTAGAAGACAAGCTACAAAGAAAAGAAGACAATGATAGCGCTGAAAAGTCAGAGACTACACAGATACATGTGGAAAAGGAGGTTGAACAAGGAGATTCTTCTGAAGCAGAACCAGCACATGATGAACAAGAACCAGAGAGTTCTGAAGCTCCAACAACTCGTCAATCAGATCGTGTGAGAAGATGTCCCAATGGAACTCAGATTATGTTATAGAAGGTAATTGCATATGCCTTTTAACAGAGGACGGTGAGCCATCAACATACAGGAGGCAATAAAAGCTCAGATGCTTCACTGTGGATGATGGCGATGCAAGAAGAAATTGAAGCCCTTAATAAAAATAATACATGGGACCTTATGCCACTATCACAAGGAAGGAAGCCAATTGGTAACAAACGGGTCTTCAAAATCAAGCGAAATGGTGATGATCAAGTTGAGAGGCATCGTGCAAGACTGGTGGTTAAAGGATATGCTCAAAAAGAAGGTATTGATTTTAGTGAAATATTTTCTCCTGTGGTTCGACTAACAACAGTTCGAGTAGTTTTGGCAATTTGTGCTACATTGAACTTACATCTAGCAGCTAGATGCTAAAAAGCTTTCTTCATGGAAATCTTGAAGAAGAGATTTACATGCTCCAGCCTGAAGGTTTTGAAGAAAAAGAAAAGAAGAACTTGGTTTGCAGGTTGAACAAATCTCTGTACGGTCTAAAGCAGGCGCCGAGGTGTTGGTATAAGAGATTTGATTCCTTCATTATGTGCCTTGGATACAACAGACTTAACACATACCCTTGTGCTTATTTCAAGAGGTCTGGTGATAACAATTTTGTTATATTGCTGTTGTATGTAGATGACATGTTGGTTGTAGGACCCAACAAAGATCATATTGAAGAATTGAAGGCACAACTGGCTAGGGAATTTGAAATGAAGGACTTGGGATCAGCAAACAAGATTCTAGGGATGCAAATTCACCGAGACAGAAGTAATAGGAAGATTTGGCTTTCACAAAGAATTACTGAAGAAGATCTTGTCACGATTCAACATGCAAGATTATAAGCCAATTTCTACCCCTCTTCCTATTAACTTAAAATTATCCTCCAGTATGAGTCCTAGCAGTGAAGAAGAGAGGATGAAGATGTCTCGAGTACCGTATGCATCAGCAGTGAGAAGTTTAATGTTCGCTATGATATGCACAAGACCAGACATTGCACAAGCAGTGGGAGTGGTTAGTCGGTACATGGCGAATCCAGGCAAAGAGCATTGGAATACAGTAAAGAGGATCCTGAGATACATCAAATGGACCTCAAATGTTGCATTATGTTACAGAAAATCAAACTTACTAATCAATGGGTATGTAGATTCTGACTATGCAGGGGATTTAGATAAAAGCAAATCTACAACAGGATATGTGTTCAAAATTGCTGATGGAGCTGTAAGCTGGGTTTCAAAATTACAATCAGTTGTGGCTACATCCACAACAGAAGCATAATATGTAGTAGCTACACAAGCCAGTAAAGAAGCAATTTGGTTGAAGATGTTATTGGAGGAGCTTGGGCACAATCAAGAGTATGTCTCTTTGTTTTGTGACAGTCAAAGCGCCTTGCATCTAGCAAGGAATCCGACATTTCATTCAAGGACAAAGCACATACGAGTTCAGTATCACTTCATTCGTGAAAAGGTGGAAGAAGGGACGATAGATATGCAGAAGATCCATACCAAAGACAACATAGCAGATTTCATGACGAAGGCAATCAATGCTGATAAATTTACCTGGTGTCGATCCTTCTGTGGCCTGTCAGAGACGTAAGCAACATGAAGGTACAAGGTAGAAAGAATGATGTGAAGATATGATTGTTCCAATCAAATCTTCAAGTGGGAGATTGTTGAAAAGTCAAGGAAAACAGTGCATTAATGCACCGAATTCATTCAATGCAAATTGTCAAAAGTTTCAACTAATTTGTTGAAAAAAATGGTAAAAGCTTAAATTAGTCATTGTACTTTAGGATATTTACAAATTAGTCCTTAGAGCTTCAACTATAAATACCCTAGCTCATTTAGCTTCAAAATTATCCCAAAGCATTCTAGCTTTCTTCCAATACTAGAGAATTTAGAGAGTTTCTTGAGAGTTGTTTTCTCCTTTTTTATCAAGAGAGAATTATTATTGTTTTCCCCTTGGTAGATCGAGAGAAGTTGTAATTCCTATTTTCTCATAGTGAAATTCTTCTACCGTTCCCCGTGGTTTTTACCCTATATTATTTAGGGGTTTTCCACGTAAATTTTGTGTCTCTTTTATCTTCATTTTTATTTTCTCAAATTATCAGTTGCGATTTTGCTCTATCCGATAGCCGTCTTCCGCAACACAAACCTGGGGGTAATCTATGAGTACATGGAGAAAGGGAATTTAGAAGAGAATCTGTCAGGTTTGAATGCAAAATTTTACATTCTCACAACTGCAAATTTGAATCTACCAAGACCAAATTTTTGAAATACTTTTAGTGAATATGTAGCAACAAGCACCAGTGTTTTGAGTTGGATAGGAAGACTTCGTATAGCACTTGATGCAGCACAAGGTAAGTACTCAATTTTATTAATCTTTTATTTGAAACTTGCATATGAAGCAACAAGTGAAATTGAAAATACCGTAGGGTTGGAGTATCTGCATAATGGTTGCAAGCCCCCAATAGTCCACAGAGATGTTAAATCCACAAACATTTTATTAAATGAAGACTTCCAGGCCAAACTAGCCGATTTCAGGCTGTCGAAAACTTTTACGGTGGAAGGTGGCACTCAGATATCAGCATCCATTGCTGGCACCCCTGGCTACCTTGATCCCGAGTAAGTAAAAGTAAATCGGGGACTCAATCGGTTGCAATTGATGATCATTGTTTAGAGTTCAGACCAAGTTAAATTTGTGGATGTGCAGGTGTTACATGTCGAACCGGTTAACGGAGAAGAGCGATGTTTATAGCTTCGGGATCGTTCTTTTGGAGATAATAACGAGCCGACCTGTAGTTGCAGTAACTAACAATGAGAGGACTCACATAAGTCAATGGGTGAATTCGATGTTGCCGATGGGTGACATCAGGAACATAGTTGATCCAAGACTACAAGGAGATTTCGATGTTAATAGTGCATGGAAAGCTGTAGAAGTAGCAATGGCTTGCTTGTCTCCAACTGGTGCAAGAAGGCCGACCATGGATCAGGTGGTAACGGAATTAAACGAGTGTTTGTCTGATGAAAGAGCTAGGAACAGGAGGCACCATGAAGACGAATCGCTGCGCTCGGTTCCTTTCGTGACCATGAATTTGGACCCCGAATCAACTCCTCTAGCCAGGTGAGAATATATATATATATGGGGGGGGGGTGTGACTGTATCTATTACTTTATAAGTGCAGGATGTGATTGTAAAATTCCCCCTCTTGTCTGGGGACCGTAATTTATGCTTGTACGATAAATTTTCTTAGTTTTCACATTATACATGTTATCTTATAATTGAAGATAATTACATAAATGATTTAATCTTAAAATTTAAATATATAAAATAAAATATAATTAGCTGATCCTATTCCCATGTGTAATGAAGTAAGGGAGAGGTAGAATAGTAGACTACCCCCAATACCAGGTTGAGAGCAGCTTCTGTGGGAAACCTCCGGCAATCAGAATTATGAATTACCCACCCTGGGACTCGATCCCACGACCACAAGGTTAAGAGCCTTGCGTTCTACCAACTGAACTAGATCAGCAATTCAATAAAATAAAATATAACGATTAATAAATGAAATTCATATAATATTGTGATAGATACAGGTTTTCGAAAAGCTTTAATAAAAGGTATTTGTATACAAAATTTTTATTATGATACATCAAATTTTAATTTTTACTTAGATATTACATTAATTTATTTTCTGCTCGATAAAAATAATTATGTGGATATAAAATGTAAATGTCAAAGGATTCTATGTAGAAAATAAAGTTAATGGTTTGTAAAAATTAAATTAGAATTTTATGAATAAAATTAAATAAAATCAAAATTGACGAATTACGATCAAATAAAGCAAAAGGGTAAATTATGCATTTAATACCTAAACTATTAGTTTTAGCACCTAAATTTTCAATTTTTCAAAAACATATCTAAAGTTTAATTTTTGTTTTATTTTAGTACCTGCTGTAAAAAAAAATTAGTTTTTGTTTCATTTAATACCTTATTCAAAATTTAACGTTACGTTTTGAAATAATTGAAAGTTTAGATACTAAAATGGGCCAAAAATGATAGTTTAGATACTAAATATGTTAAGTTTTTTACAACGGGTACTAAAATAAAACGAAAACTAAACCTTAGGTATGATTTAAAAAAATTTAAAGTTAAGGTACTAAAATGGATCAAAACTGATAGTTTAAGTACTAAATGTGCAGTTTACCCAAATAGAAAATTATATATCAAAATATATATGTCAATTAAAGCTTGGTGAAGTTTGTCTTGTTTTTGGTGAAGATTAAGTTTAACTTGGATTAGTTTTTGAATTTGGATTGAGCTGAAATAGATGTTCACAATACATACAAGGTATAATATAACATATATGATGTATGATTTGAATGGCTAAAAGAAACACTTATTTGCATCATGGGTCAAACCCAAATAACATCCATAAAGCAAAAGAAACACCGATTATTTATGTGTGACATTAATGTATCACAATAATACGCTTCTTCTTCACCTTGCTCTGGGAGATGGCTCGGTATCCAGATTTACGCTGATCCCGCGCCTCAGGCCGGTAGTACTTGGGCCGGCGCCTCCCCGGTTGCGAGCCACCTCTCTTTTCAATCACTCCTTCAATTCCATCACCACTTCGCTCATGGTTGGCCTATTGGTTGAGTTGCGAGACGCATACACCAAGGCTAATTCCACAACTTTCCATGCAGATTTGATCTCGAAATCTCCGCGCAACCTTGAATCAACAATGCCCTTGATGTCCCCCTTTGCCAACAATGAACTGACCCATTGACTAATGTGAGTGGCTTCATCATTCGATATGGTGATCACTGGCCTGCTTGTGAGTAGCTCCAATAGAACAACCCCAAAGCTAAACACATCGCTTTTCTCGTTTAACCTGTTGGTTGTTTGGTATCTGCATTCCGAGCATATAGAAGTTAGTAATTAATGATGTTTGTTTGAATTAATTAAAAAAATTATACCATCGTTGTCGACACCGGTTTTTGTCCGAGCGGGGAAAAATTTAGTACGACTTGGAGATTTTTTTAAAAAGGTTTTGGAGTCGCCATCGACCTTTTGAGTTAGGTAAGTCGAATATCTAAAATTTTTATTTTAAAAGAGTTTTTAAGAAAACATCATTTTAAAAGATAAACAGCCTACGTGTAACCAGAGATTCATTCTTTTTGAAATAAAAAAGGGTTTGGGGATCAATTACGTATGGAGAAGGATAAGCACCCCACAACGCCCAAAATTGATACCCGATCGGTTATAAATTGTCTCTAACAGTGAAATCTAAGAATTCGAATATAAATTTAAGTTACGATCCTATTATTCCAAATTCAACCATGAATTTTATTTAACGAAAAATTCTAAGGAGAAATATATAATATTCCGATATTTACAATCGAAGAGAAAATAATCCCTAAAATACTTTAAAACAAATATTTCTCTTTCCAACTGAAATAAAAGGAATATAATAATTTCTCTCAAGAATTCAAGATTAAAATAATTTTCATTCTACCAAAGAAAGAAATTAAGCCAATTTATCCGAATTATATTATTAGAAAATATAAGGAATATTCAATTATTTAAAAATACCGAGACTTAATCCCTAATAAAATTAGGCGAATTGTCTCGATAAGTTTAAATAAGTGAATATAACATTTTCCTTTCTAGTGGGATATTTATTTATTTTAAAACATCGGAAAATGACATCTAGTTATTTTAAGACTATCCATTCTTAATATTTTAAAATAAATAAAAATTACCCTTAATCCAATTATGTAATCGACTGAGTTATGCTAATGAGGCTTTTAAACGAAATAAAAATGGTACATTGAAGCATTTAAAGAAAAAAAATATAAATACACATATGGACTAAAAAGCAATTTTAAGGCTATTTTTAACTTTATAAATAGATACATATTTTCTAAATATAATATTAAACATAGAATATAATATTTATTATAAAATATACTAAGATGTAAAATATAATATTTATATACCATGCAATACATGTAGTATTATATAAATATATAATAAAGTAATATATAATAATGTACATGAAATAAATATATACATGTGGATTCATTCCTAGCATATTGAAAAAAATAAAAGCATAGTAAATTGGAGGTCATAAATATAAATAAAACAAATATCATGGCATGAAACAAGAAAATCATATTACAAGAGTACCAGAATCGTAATAACACCATAAATACATATGATTAAAATGAAAGAAAATAAATATCAGTAGTCAATCTCAAAAAAAATAAATATATACAACATAGGACTAAATTAAAATAATACAAACCCATGCAACCAATTCGCAAATCATATAAAATAAAAGGAAATGGTGACCAAAGCGCAAAACACGCTAAACTTGAAGGGACCTAAGGCGAATTTGACCTAAAAATGCCCAAAATGCTACTGATACTAAAGATAAAAACCCAAACCATGATTTAACCTTAAATGAGTAACCAAAATGACATGGAATTCCTAAAGTGAGGGGACCTATACGTAATAAACCCATAAATTGGTGACTGAAACATAAAACACGCTGAAGATTCAAGGACCTTAGCGTGATTTACCCAAAATCTCAAAATGAGATTACTTCTCTCCTTTTTTCTGCATTCTACCCGATACTTCCCTAATCCATAACCTTCTTTCCTCTCTTCCTCTTCTGTTGAAAACATTTTGATATTTCGATATAACAAATTAAGTTAAATGAATTTTAAGATTTTCCAAATGATTTTCTAAGTATATTCGATATAATTATTCGAATATCAAAACATTACTCCAAATATTTCAAAAATCATTTTTAATCCTTACTTGAGTGTAAAATTAAGTTTTAATCTTAAAACATTTTCAAAATAATATTTCAAAGTATTTAGAACCATTTCAAAGCCAAAAAGTCCAGATTGCTCAGAGGGAACCGATTCCCCCCAAGGGGGTACCGATTCCCCCCTGAATGGTTTGGCTCCGAGATTTCCAGAATGCTCGAAGGGAACCGATTCCCCCATAGGGGGTACCGATTCCCCCTGTTCAACGGTCAAAATATTTGAATTTTACACTTAGGGAATCGATTCCCTATGAGGGGGAACCGATTCCCCCCACACTCCAAGCTGTTTTATTAATTGTTTTCACACTAAAACGGCTATATGATCTTCACTAATCATCCCCAACGTTCATAAGTGATTCAAGGTGTATTTAAACAAGTTCTGAAGCCCTTGATCAGCAAGAAATTATAGATAAACAAGAGAGAAAGCATCAAACACCAAGTTTGTGCAAATCAATCCAATTTTCCTTTCAATATTCATCTTGCTTTCAAAGAACACCATTTGTGCTCATTTGTAATTATTTGTGAGTGTTCTTTTCTTGTTCTAGAATTGTGCAAACATCTTACCTTGTGAGGTTTTCCTTGTAAGTTTGCAAATTTGCAATCTTCTCTTTGGGAAAGAGTGTTCTCAAGAATTGAGGTATATTCTTGAGGGTGTTGTAAGGTTATCTCTTTGGCCTCAAAAGAAAGAACAAATTAGTGAATTTGTTGGAAAATCCTTAGTGTGGATAGCTAAGGTAGTGGATGTAGACTTTGATTGAGAAAGTCGAACCACTCTAAATCGCTGTGCAATTACTTTCAATTTTCTGCAAAAGCTTCCACCAAATTTTTAATTGCCAATTCACCCCCTCTTGGCCAATTCCATCAATTGATTAACTCAACAATTGGTATCAGAGCCTAACTCATTTGAAGGTTTAATCGCCTCTTGAGTCGATTCGGGAAGAGTTATATCGATAATCAAAGTCATCAATGGCCTCCGCTTCAAACTTCGACTCCGGTCTCAACTCGATGCCCGTCAACAAGCCTCCTTTCTTCAATGGAGCTAACTATGCCTATTGGAAGAATAGAATGTTGTACTTCATTCAAGCAAGTGACATGGGAGCATGGAATGCTGTAGAAGAAGGATACATCAAACCTCTCACTCATCCAAGGTTGTGGAGTGAAGGAGAGACAAGAATGTTCCAGCTAAACTCCAAAGCCATCCATATCATTTTTTGTGCTCTTGGACCAGATGAATACGGAAGAGTTTCATCGTGTACAACCGCCAAAGAAATATGGGAAAAACTTCA